CCAGAGTATTGGAGTTGGGATGGGGGGACCCAGGCAAAGGATTCTGGCATCTGAGTGGGTCAGGGCAGGATGGGGGCGGTTTGAAGGGAGACCTGTGATCTGAGACCTAAAATAGGTAAAATAAATGTGTCCAAGCACATGCAAGATGCTTATGCCTGGCAAAATGAGGGTGTGGCACACATTACAGTGTGGTTGTAATTCCTTTGGAAATCTGTGGGGCTCAAAGGGAGGATGGAGAACTCCGGTGGGGAACCCAGAAAAGGCACCTGATATAGCCCTAGAGTGCTTTTTGTTGTTTGAGGCAGCTTTGGTAGCAGCAAAGGTTTCCTTACTATTGAGCTAAAAGTCAGAAGTCTAAGAACCAGTCTGAGATGGGGAATCTGAGATGCAGGGAGGTTGCCTGCTTAGGTTTGCTTTGAACAATTTCATCAGTCTTCCATTCCTCCCTGTTCCTGGCTGTGTGGTGATAGCTCAACCCTCCCACGGCCACTAGTACTTTGGGGCCATTGGTGGCAGAAGCTACGTGAAGAGAGAGAAGGATGCTCAATGAAGTGGCTCAGTTGCCCAGATTGTGGTCTAAAATCCTATCTCTCTCCCCCCCCCCCCCCCCCCTTCCAGCTGCTGGAACCTGTTCTGCTTCTTGGGAAGGAGCGATTTGCTGGCGTGGACATCCGAGTCCGTGTGAAGGGTGGTGGTCATGTGGCCCAGATTTATGGTAAGTCCCAGGACCTGGGCAACATGGGTGGGAGGTGGCTCTGAGAGCAAGGTCCTACTCCTGGATCTTAAAACTAATGTACCTTATTTTGTGTGGTTTTCTCACAGCAATCCGCCAGTCCATTTCCAAAGCCCTGGTGGCCTATTACCAGAAATGTGAGTGAGTGGGTCCTTCCCATCGGCGTGGGGGTGGGTGCAAGTCAAGTGCCAGCTCTGGCGTTTAGCTCCAGACAGTAGGCGAATGCTTCCGTGGTCATCTAAATCTTTATCCCATTTCTTATCCCCAGATGTGGATGAAGCTTCCAAGAAGGAGATCAAAGACATCCTTATCCAGTATGACCGGACCCTGCTGGTAGCTGATCCCCGTCGCTGTGAATCCAAAAAGTTTGGTGGTCCTGGTGCCCGTGCTCGCTACCAGAAATCTTACCGATAAGCTCATCTGGGTTCACCTTTATAATAAACAATGGTCATGGAATTTAAGGTTTCAAGGATTGTGCTATCTTTTGTGGAGTCTTTGGCTAAAAGAAATACAGGAAACACCTCAAACCCACTGCCAGTCTGGATTTTAAGCCCTTCCAAAAGCCACCACTCTGGGGTTAGTGTGGATGGGTGGGAAGGTGGGTGGGAGCAGACCTGGCCCCTTTCCCTGCACCCCAGAGGAGTGGAGTGTGCGGGCACAGCTGAGATGGGGAGGTTCGGGGCCATTGGTTGTGTAGGGTATCAATGAGTTTGTCTTTATTTCAATTCTTTTGCTGCTGGTTAGCACCTCAGGAAAGAGCAGGGGAAATGTATACTATCAGTAATCTTGAATACAAAAAAAGATGGCCTGGGTGGAGTCTGAACTCAGCAACTAGGCATGACTGGGCTGGGAAAGGAATTCTAATATATTTTTATTGATTTTAGAGAGGGAGAGAGATAAACATCAATGAAGAGAGAGTCAGTCATTGATTGGCTGCCTCCTGCACACCCCCAGCTGGGGATCGAGCCCACAACCTAGGCATGTGCCCTTGACCAGAATCAAACCCTGGACCCTTCAGTCCGCAGGCCAACCCACTATCCATTGAGCCAGACCAGATAGGGCAGGGATTTTAATATCAATCTGTAGCTTAGATAAGATTAGGGGGCAAGGGCCCTAAACCCCACAGGGGCTTCAACCACAAGATAGTACTGCCTCCTGGGGGAAAAGTAAGTCCCAAGTATGCTCTCTAGTAACTGTCCTAATGGGGCTCAAAACGTGGCTTTGAGGTCTTCAATGTGCCTGCCCTTCAGCAAAAGCCAACAAGTGGGCTTTCAGTTCCTACCATTGGGCTACAACGTGATAGGACATTTCCACTGTCAAAAAGAAAATTCTGTGGGATGGTGCGTGTATATGTACAGCTGGTATAGGTTCCAGGACCACCCACAGATAGCAAAATCCTGGGATGTTCAAGTCCCTTAGTCTTCATATCCAATGCAGAATTCCACATTGGGAGTTCAGTTCATTCCCCCATCCCTGCCTTTTTATTTTTTTTTTAATATATTTTTATTGACTTTTTACAGAGAGGAAGGGAGAGGGATAGAGAGCTAGAAATACCAAAAGAGAAACATCGATCAGCTGCCTCCTGCACACCCCACACTGGGGATGTACATGCCCTTGACCAGAATTGAACCTAGGACCCTTAAGTCCACAGGCCGAGGCTCTATCCACTGAGCTAAACCGGCTAGGGCCATCCCTGCCTTTCTATAGTCACCTCACTTGCTCTGGTAAGGGCATCTCTTCATGCCAGTCTTCTCGGCCAACCTAGATGTCCCAGCCATCTGCTGGGGGTGGGGGAGATACTCCCCTTGCTGAGTACTGGTGGCATCTTACCACACTAGACTGTTAATTGAGGGGAAAGTTACACAAATTTTTATAGCAGAAGGAACTTGAGATTTACTGTCCAGTTGCCCTATTTTGTATCTGCCCTACCCAACACAGTCGTTTGGCTACCAAGCTGAGCTGCACAGGCGAGAACATTTTCCTTGAAAGTTCTATGGCCATGGTCGGCAAACTGCGGCTCGTGAGCCACATGTGGCTCTTTGGCCCTTGAGTGTGGCTCTTCCACAAAATACCATGTGAGGGCACGCGTACAGTGCGATTGAAACTGGCCCACGCACAGAAGTCGGTTTTCGGCCTGGGCGAATCTATTTTGAAGAAGTACTGTTGATATTTAGCTTTGTTGACTGAGTTTGCCGACCACTGTATCCATGGGATAGCACTGATACATAGGGAATAAATACAAATACAGTCATGCACCACCTAGCAGTGGAGATATGCTCTGAGAAATGCGTTGGTAGGTGTTTTCATGGTGCAAACTGTACTTGACACAAGCCTAGGTGGTACAGCCCACTATACAGCCTGTTGTGTAGGGAAGGAAAAATAGTTTTTCCTCTACCTTCTGGGTTCTTGGCTGACATATCGCCATAATAAAAGAATGACAGGAGGAAAAAAAAATGTATTCCTGTATATAAGGAAGAGGCCCAGGAAAACAGTAATTCATCAAAATGGTTGTGAAGATGCTTAGCATGGCACCTAATTGGTGCTCAATCAACCCCACTAAGTTGATCCTATAAAATTCTGTTGCTTATGAGCTAGTCCTTGTAATACAGTTGAAGCCAACCTTGGATACCTTCTTCAGCTGAAGATCGAAGACACGGGTTTGGTGGTGGTGTGGGAGGGGGGATCAGTTAAAGATCACCAGGAAAAGCACAGTGAACAAGGGTAAGGGTGTTAAGTCCTTGTCTCCATTGAGTTTCCAGGTAAGGTCATCCCCTCTTCCTGGTCCTTACCAATGGAGATTTCCAATTTACAAAAGTAAATGTCCTACAGAGGGTAACCTCTACTTGGTTTTCAGAGCTTCTCCCATGTCTGCTATTTTTTTAACCAGCCTAAAATAATCCTCATGCCAAATGGGCATATTGTGAAGTGGCAAATTCTGTTCCCCTACAGCTCCTAGGCTGCAAACCTATACAGCACATTACTGTACTGAAGACTGTAGGCAATTCTAACAGTGGTATTTGAGGAATGCATTGCACGGTATTACAGATGAGAAAATGAGCCCAGTGGCAAAAGGCAGCTCAGCAAGCTTTTTGCATGGGAAATGGAGTTCACTTGGGTTAACTTCAGTTGACTGGCACTAACCTAACGCTCCCAAGGAAGATAGCAGTATCCCCCTCCTTTGTTTTTTGTCAATCCTCACCAGAGGATATTTTCCCACTGATTTTTAGAGAGTGGGAGAGGAGGGGATTGCCTCTTGCATGCTTCCCGATGGGCCAGGGATTGAGCCCGCAACGAGATGTATGCCCTGAGCATGCATGCCTTGAGCGGAATCGATCTGGGGGCCCTTCAGTCCACAGGGCAACGCTCTATCCACTGAGCAATCCAGCTAGCCTCCACCTTTCCCTTTTAAAAAAAAGAATATATTTGTATTCATTTCAGAGAGGAAGGGGGAGAGATAGTAACATCAATGATGAGAGAATCATTGATCAGCTGCCTCCTGCACACCCCACTCTGGGGATCATAGACATGTGCCCGGACTGGGAATTGAATCGTGACCTCCTGATTCATAGGTTGATGCTCAACCACTGAGCGACACCAGCCAAACCTCTGCTCTTCCCGGTTTGAGCCTGATTTTGCAGAAGATCGAAAAGCGGCTTACAACAGGCAAACTATATTCCTGAGGCTTCAGAGCTGGCCTATGAAGCAAATATAATTGGGCAGGCAGGAGGAATGGAATTTAGGGGCAGGGAGCAGGAGGGACTAAGGCAAGCCTGGTGCCCATAGTTTTCCCACAGGATCCAGAGATACCCCCCTCACTCCACCTCGTTGAGGCTCCTGGCTGCCTCCCAGAGGCACAGCTGGGATGCATCTGGAGGAGCTGAAGGCACTTGCCTCTTTCCCTGCGCCAGGCCTTAGAGTAGACAGCCTTTTCTCCCTCCCTGACGCCTCCTCAAATACCGGGAATTCCGGCGCTGCTGGGAGCCCAAGTCAGGCTGTGAACTTTCCTTCAGCTGGGAATGTGCAGCTGGGGGTGGCTGGGAATGTGCAACTGGGGCTGAGAGGAGGGCCAGCCTCTGTCCTGACCTTGGGGAGGCTGCAGCGGAGCAGGCCCAGGCCCTGGTGTAGGGCATGGTTACTGCTCAACTGAATAGAAGCCAGCAGCTCACATTTATTAAGCCAGGCCTTGTCCTGGCTTCCTTATCACCTAGGACCCTTGGAGTACTGGGCTGTGTCTCAAGTTGGGGGTGGGGAAAGTGCTCCTTATTGTGCCCCCAGTGGCAAAAACAGTATCTGGCACAGGATAGGTACTCGAGTATGGGCTCTGTTGGGCTGCAGGAAATGGAGTCCCAGCTCTGCCCCTTTCCTGTGTGACTGGGCAAGTTCCTTATCCAATCTTTCTTATTATCCTCATCTCTAAAGTGGGGATTAAAGTCCTCACTTGCCTTTTAGGGCTGTTGTGAGGACTCCCAGTGATTGAGTTCATATGAAGTGACTAATGCCCATGGTATGCCATTAGGATTCGATAAATCTCAGCCTTTTTTGCTGTTGTTAGTTGATTGCTGAAACTTCAGATTCCTAGGCTCCCGTCCTGGAGGTTGTGATTCTATAGTCTGGGACTAGATCCTGGGACATCTGTGATTTGAACAATGTGCTGTGAGTCAGAGGCTCAAACACACTTGGGAATTGAAGATAACTTCACTGAATCTTTTTTGTTGTTGTTAATCCTCACCTGAGGTTATTTTTTCCATTTTTACAAAGAGTGGAAGGGAGGGAAAGGAGGAGGGGAGAAGAGAAACATCAATTAATTGGTTGTCTCCCTTATGCACCCCAACTGGGGCCAGGGATCCAGGGATCGAACCTGCAATCCAGTTATGTGCCCTTGACCAGGAATCGAACCTGTGATCCTTCAGTGGGCAGGCTGATACTCTTACCAGTGGATCACACTGGCCAGGACTCCTTCACTGAATCTTTACAGTGACCCTACAAGACCCCTACAAGATGGGGTACTGTTGTCCCCATTATACATGAGAAAACCCACGCTCAGAGAGAGATTACATTGACTCTGGTGCCTCAGAAAATTCCAAGAAAGGTAAAATAAGCTGTGCAAAAGCACAAGAGGGTAAATGTTTAATTAAAAAAGCTAATGTTACCAAAGAAATTGATTAGGTTATGCTTCTCACAGGGCATGCTGCAGCTAGGAGGGCATAAAGGATCCTTTGGCCCTGGACAGGTAGCTCAGTTGGTTAGAACGTTGTCTCCATAGGCCATGGTTGCAGGTTCGATCCCCAGCAGGGCACATACAAGAATCAACCAATTAATGCATAAATAAGTGGAACAACAAATTGATGTTTCACTCTCTATTCCCCTTCCTCTCTAAAATCAGTAATTAAAAAAAAATTTTTTGGAAAATGCCTTTGTCTCTATAACCTGAATTTTTGGGGGGAGAGGGGGCACACGAAGGCACTGTAG